GGTGTATCACAAACACATGCACCTCACCATTCAGCCTAGTTAAATTAAACATATGCATGGCACTAGTGTCATCACACAAACACTCTAACTTATCATCCAACACTGAAGCCCCTCCTACAGAGTACCACAGATCTTTAAACCCATCGTATCCCAAACCTTTTACTACACTAACAACCACGAAATAACTCCAAACATCTGGGTCAAACAAAAACCTAAATGTCTCCCCCCCTTCATACTTAAGCTTCCCATCATTAACTAATTTCCCTCCATGGTGAAAGACAACCTCAATATCCTCGTCCATGACGCAAAACACTATATATATGTTTTTACACACCTATAATGCAATCACATGACGACAAAACATGTATTAACACCATAAACAAAACACACTCACACACACAGAGAAAAATAACTTTAAACATGGGGGGACCACTACAACGCAATAAAAAATGAAACACAATACAACCACAGGGACCACAACCCAACATCGCAATAAAAATAACACAACATATGACCTCTGTAATCAATAATCAATACAAAACCAAACTTATACTAACCTGGCCACTCGAGATTCCAGCGGAACAAGGTCCCACAACTTCAACCACGACGACAAAAGCACGCTCTCTATCAACGTCAACTTCGATTAAACCCTAAATCCCCAATTTCAGACCCCAATTTGTGAATTTCATGGACCTTTGCACGAAGCCTACAACAACCCCTCAATCTCAGAACAAACTTCTCCCAATCCCTAATTCCATAAAATTGAATCTCAATCCCAATCCCTATATTTCATTCGTACTTTGCTTTTATTTGTATTTTAAAAAATATAATTATCCATGTCAAACAAACTTCTCCCAATCCCTAATGCCACGTCAATTACAAAACGGGACCCAGCATGCCACGTCAAACACAGCTTAACGGCGTTGGGCCCAATTTAACGGTTGGGGCCCAATTGTTGCAATTTTCATAAAATTTGGATCCAATTGAGAAACCGAAAAAATAAGGGACGAAATTGAGATTCTGCACCAAAAAAGGGACTTCCTGAATGATTAAACCTAATAAAAATCAGATCCTAACTAAGGCAATTTTAAAAACACTTTTTAAGTAATTTAAAGGTTGGAAACCGAGTTTATGACATGTATGAATTTGGGGATGTGTCTGAAATAAGGATTTATAACCCACACGAGAAGAAACTAGACCCAAGATTAATGGGTATTTCACTATATATGCTGAAAAGTCCAAAGGGTATAGATTATATCGTCCACCTCATAACACTAGGATTGTGGAATCAAGAAATGCAAACTTTCTTGAAAATGACTTAATTAGTGGGAGTATTTAATTCAAGATATTGATCATGAAAAGGATCACCGTGAAGCTCAAACCTTTCAATTAAATGATAGATTGGTAGTTATTCACCCCCTCCAGTTCAAAAGCGTATTAGACAACCAGTAAGTGAAGTTTCATAAATTGTTGAGAATGATAATAGAGATCAAGTTGTTGATAAAGAGCAACAAGTAAATGTTGAACACCTAGTTAAACAACAAGTTTCTCATCAAGATGTTGAGAAAACATTAAGAAGATCTACTAGAATCAAAAGACCAATAGTTTCTCGTGATTATGAAGTATATTTGTAAGAATCTGATTTTAACCAGTAATGATTCTAAGGAATTGAATTTGTGGTATAATGTTATGAAAGATGAGATGGATTCTATAACATCTAATAAAGTCTAGGATCTTGTTGAGTTAGTTAATGGTGTAAAACCTATTGGATGTAGATGGGTCTTCAAAACTAAGAAAGACTTGCAAGGTAACATTGAAAGACATAAAGCAAGACTTGTTGCCAAAGGATTCACTTAAAGAGAAGGAATTGATTATAAGGAGCATTTTCTCCTATACCTAAGAAGGATTCTCTATGAATAATCATGGTTTTGGTAGCTCATTTTTACTTTGAGTTAAAAAAAATAAGTCAAGTCCATCTATGGATTAAAAAAAGTTGCACGTCAATGGTATTTAAAATTTCATGAAGTTATCTCTTCTTTTGGTTTGGAAGAAAACATCATGGATCAATTATATACCAGAAGGTTAATGGGAGAAAAATTTGTTTTCTTATTTCATATGTGAATGACATTTTCCTAGGAACCAACAACAAAGGTTTGTTATATGAGATAAAACAATTTCTCTCAAAGAAATTTGATATATAAGGATAAAGGTGTGACATCTTATGTCATAGGCATTAAGATCCATAAAGAAAGATCTTGAGGTATTTTGGGTCTCAAGAGACCTATATCAACAAAGTTTTAAAGAGGCTTAACATGAAAGATTGTTCACCAAGTGTAGTTCCCATTGTAAAGGGTGACAAACTTGAATTAATTCAATGCCCGTAAAATGATCTTAAGCGGGAACAGATGAAAAATATTCCATATGCTTCAACTGTTGGAAGTCTTATGTATGCTCAAGTTTGTACTAGAATTGACGTTGCATTTGTAGTTGGAGTTTTAGGAAGATATCAGAGTAATCCAGGTGTTGACCATTGGAAAGCTGTAAAGAAAGTAATGAGATATCTTCAAGGAACAATAGATTTCATGCCCATGTATAGACGAACTAATAATTTAGAAGTGATAAGCTACTCTAATTCAGACTTTGTTAGTTGTGTTGATACTAGAAAATCTACATCTGGCTATGTTTTCATATTAGTTTGCGGAGTTGTATCTTGGAGTGCCAAAAAGAAAACCATGACTGCTACTTCTACAATGGAGTTGTTTCTTGTTTTGAAGCTACTTCACATGATGTATGGTTGAAGAGTTTTATATTTGGGTTTAGAGTTGTGGACTCAATTGTTAGGTTGTTGAAGTTTTATTGTGATAACAAATGTTGTTGTTTTTATGGTTAAGAATAATAAAAGTGGAAGTCAAAGTAAGCACATCGATATTGAATATCTAACCATAATAGAACGTGTTAAAGACAAGAAAGTGGTCATTGAACACGTTAGCATTGAGTTGATGATTGTTGATCCTTTAACTAGAGGCATACAACCAAAGAATTTTAAGGATCATGTAATGCGAATGGGACTTGGTTCCATGATTTGACGATCATTGTAAGTACTTTCATTTTGATAAAACTCTTATCTAGTTTAATGTTTTCTCATTTATTTTGTCCACATAAAACTTTGAGAAAACTCATTTAATTGTGACCTATAATAGACATATGGTTTATTCGTTAGAGTTAAGAGCTTATGATGTAAGACTTAATATATTTTTATACATGGTAGATAATACTTATTATTAGAGGAACTGTTACTGTGATTCATATATTTGGTTTCTTATTATGTTTGATGGTTGGATAAAGTCCAAGTAGGAGAGTGTTAATATTTATGCAATAGAGAGGTTATAAGAGAGTAATGGCCTTCGATTTTTGTGGCCATATCATCTCCCTTAATTTTCTCTTTAGTTTGAGTTAGCATATTCTTTGAATGTGATCTATATTTCAAAAAATTTCAAACCGTTTCAAACGTGTGTGCATAGGTGTTGTGATTTCTGCAACAAATTTTTCCATTGTTCCAAACTCTGTGATGGTTTTGAAGTTCTTTAAATTGGATATTCTTTTTTGCTTTGGTCATTGGGCTTACTCTTCACTTTAGAATGCATCACCATCGTGTTTTGAAAGCAAGGGTTCAAAAACTAGAAGCTAAGCAAGCAACAACAACAATGGCTGGAGATTGGTTTTTCTGCTTCCACATTTCATATAATTTGAATGTATTCATATGTGTTTGTTTGACATATTTAGATTAATTGAAGCCTGTAGTTTATATGTTTCATGAGTTACTTTTTTCATTTATGTATTTACTTAATTTTTTTCATCGTAGGATTTTTTCCTATATATACAACATATTTTTATCATGTGTTTGTGTGATTGGTCCATGTTTTTTTATTCTTTTTTGTTTTTGTTTTTTTTTAAAAAAAAAAATCTTCCTGATATGACAATGATGTCTAACACGAACTTATTAGAAAATAGAATTTGAGAAACATAAAACAATACTTTAAAGTAAAGTATCAACGTAGAAAATTGAGCAATCAATATAACTATATATGAATAAGAATAAGAGATTGATTGGATAATAAAAATTTTATTACTATGTATAAGATTGAAAATTTGACAAATAGTTTACATGAGTAACAGCAACCGAATCAATGTTCCAACTAACTTTAAGCAAAGGATTAACAAAAATGGTAGAAAAAAAATCAAACCATTAGATAATGGGGTAGCCTCTTAAAATAGACATAATCATTTTACTAAGAACAATTGACCGTGTAACATTTGATGTTAAACCTAAAGGAGATTCAACAATAGTTAGTATTTTAAGTTGAAAAGAGAAATATATTTTCCTTCTTAAAGGCTACAACAAAGTAATATTGGTCGTATTATTACTTGTTTTTAGATTCTAATAAATAAATTTAAAAATTGTCACTACTCATTATTAGTTTTACAATTTTGCACAAAATATTTATTTTATTTTTGACATCCCAATTTGATAGCAATGGTGAATATTTTTAGTAAAATAAAATTGATAATGGCTATGAGAGAAATCTTGCATATTGCGGATGGTGTTGCTGGATACGATGATATGTCGTCTATTGGAATTGGAATTGAACAAAAACAAAAAGCAAATGTGGTTGTAGATTTTTTTTTTTATGGTTGCATAAAGAAAAAAAAATGTACAATAGAAAACTTTGTTATTAAGTTTTTATTTTTCCTTAGAGAAATTTATATTTCTCTTTTTGGTCAATTTAATTATTTACAATAGAAGACAATTGAAGATAAAAATAAATTTATTCTTAAATTATTAATGTGTGGGACAAAGTTATTTCAAATCCAATTAGCTCTTTACGAATGTGGACAAATGCTTCATAAAAGCTATCAATAACTACCGTGGAAAAAAAAGTAGAGGAAAGAGGAAAGTGAGTACAAAAACACATGACTGCCAAAAACTATACTGTCATTTGAAATCCCCTTGTCTTTAGCATGGCATATCATATGGTATGTCATACAAAGTCTATTGTATGTTATACATTACCTATGCGGCTTTACTTGCCAGGCCTCTCTATCCTTCTTCACCATCTGAATTGAAATATGCCCAGGTATCTTATTCTTATGCATTTAAGGGAAAGTAAGCATACTAATAACACCTCTGTGCAATGACTTATTCGTGATAACAAACAAAGAACCTACTCAAACAAATGCCCAATTGAAACGAGTGAGGGATCCTTCTCAAGTTCAACAGTTCCAACTATAGAAGTGCTTCTGTTCTTCAAAAATCGGCTGTACCATTTTGCAGAGAGCTTTGGGTGTCTCTTCAACTCTGGATCATCCCTATCAACATAGTATAGGCCAAAGCTAGATTTGTATCCATCCAACAACTCGAACAAATCCAAGAAAGACCAGGCAAAATACCCCTTTATGTTTAATCCATCTCTGACAAATTTTGGGGTGATGCAGAATATCAGAGAACGCATCAGAGGTGTTTATGGGAACACTTACAGAAAAAATAAACCACTGTATTATAATCTAATGATAACTACTTGGTTTCTTCTAGTTCAAGGATTTGTGTTCTGTTGCTTGTCAGTGTGTGTTCTGGGCATGTTTGATAAATTATTTACATGAGTCACTTCTCAAGATTAGTCATAAACAGTATAGTTCAATAGACTAGTTATCCATAATTTAGATTCCAGAGTCAAAAACAAAAGCTAGATGGAAGTGATTAAAAAAACAATGATATATTTATTACATGAATTAGAGCAGTGGTAACATACCTCAAGGCATCGAGCACTACACCAATATATCCATGCAAGTATTTCACCCTTGACACGTCTTGTAGTGATGAATCGCTTGCTGTCCGTTGACCTAACAACCCAAAATTTAATCAGTAACTCGCTCAATCATTTAAACTTACCATCTTCCACATGAGTAAACTAGATATCATCAACAGGATTTCCTAATTTACGATTGATACATAAGTATTAGTACATAAGCAGGAATGAGCAAGATTGAAAAAAAAATGCCTAATGTAATCAAGTTGCTTTGCTTATAGCAACAGAACTATAATCCCAAGCTTAATATGCAATCCGTATAACATCAAAGGTTGATTTTACTATACAGTATTCATTGCAATTATACGTAATCTAAGAGAGAGAGGGAGAGAGAGAAACCATTTTCATGAATGAATATAGGAGGATTGCCATAAAGGAGCTTGAAATTATTCAATTCTTCCCGCAAACCCCACGGTGTGACAGGGTACTGAGTCAAGTAAAAGGAAAAGTCAGTTATTTGCACAATGGATACTCTAAAAAGTAGAACCAGTTTACATGACTTTATACTTTATTGTTACCTCTTCATTTGAAAATAGATCCAATCCTGCTGCAAAACCAGAAAAATGGCAAGTCATTAGACTGATAAATCATTCTTCAACGTTGCCCAACTTTATATTATTTTTTTTATAATATCCAATAGATCATTAGGTTATGTAAGGGGTATTACATTATTGTTAGAGTGAAATGGTAAATGTGCGAAACTTAAAAAGTTGAACAAATCCATATGTAATGATACCACCTATGATCTAAAAGATTAAGTGTTTATAAGTACTTCTTTCATTATATACTGTACATTCATACTTAAATGTTTAACACTTTAATCTCTTACTAAATTCACTATCCTTTAGCCTGAAGAAGTACTTACAAAACTTTGCAGCCATGTCAGCGTTGAAATCTCTCAATTGGTTCTTAAGGGTGTCAGAATTGTCTGTGATATTGATGTTGGTGTAGTGAATGACTCCTATAAAGTCAAATGAACCCTTGACTTGTTCAGATTCACGAGTTGTGAAAGCCGGAATTCTTACGCCTGCATTTGTCTTCATGGAAATTGGATAGTCTCCATATTGCAAGGGTTCCATAACCCTGCAATAGCAAAGCATACTTGTAAAGCTGCCGTGTTTATTATTCTAGGAAATATTGGTATGTCCAATTAAAGAAAGCAATCTTTAAGAAGATAGAATAGCATCAGAATAGGTTAACCATAGAAAGTCATACTTAATGGAACAAATTAAGAACAAGGAGAAGAAAAAAGTAAAACAAACCAATTGTAGGGTCTGTTGCTTACCAACCAACGAAAAAGTCACGGGCTCGTTGAGTTGCTACCCTGTCTTTCTCTGTATTTGTTTGAGGAAAAAACCCAAACGAGTAGACAGAGATACCAACATATCCATGTTGTTTGTGCTGCAATGTTACATAAGTTTCTTAGAAAAGGAGAACATTAACGCTAAGTATATTTGCTGAAGATTTTGCCATTTATGTAAGATTAGATGACATACCCTGTATTTTCTCCGGTACAATCTGGCCGCTGAAGAGTGAGCTAACAAAATATGATGAACTGCCAAGTAGGGTTCATATGTCGAGTTGCCCCTATTGCTCTTTATAGCACAAAATGGGGGAGAACATCGTTGAGGTGGTGAACTTCCCTGATCATACCCACCAAAGGAAAAAACGTTGGGTTCGTTGACAGTCGTCCAATACAAAACTCTGTAGCCAAACTCTCTAAAACATACATCAGCATAGTATGTGAAGTCTCTTCTGCATTTAATCCAAGTAACTTATCAATTAGTATTTATCGATTGAAAAAAATTAATTTGACAATCCACATTTTCTTTTACTTCCCTTTATCAATTTAACAATTCTACGTAAAAATAAAATATAAATTAAATTATTAAATTACAAAAATTAATAAAAATAGAGGTGGCACAAGAGTATAA